CACGTAGAACTATGTATAGTGCCATGGAAATTTCAAACGGGTAAAATAAGCATGGTCTATGGAATTTAATTAATAAATATGTACGTTGTTTAGTTCTATCCCGTGTTATAAATACAGAATATAACTGTGTATAGCAATGCATTATAAAAATAACACAGTAGAGAAACAGTACATTGTAAATGCATTATAAAAACACTGCACTATAAAAGTAATGCATTATAAAATCAAAATCTCGTTCCTTGAGATTGCTTCATTTCATACTGTCTCGCGTCATGAAACATACACTTTCATTTTCATCGCGTTTGCTCCAATTTATATATTTTTTTTTATCAATCAAGGTATATATATTATATTATTGACATTTACACATTAATCTAATTGTTAATATATTATAATACTATTGATTTATAAAATAATACAATTTAACATAATACAATTTGCGAATCTTATTAACATTTACACGTGAATTTAATTGTTAATAAGTTATAATACTATTTTTAACAGAGAATATTGTGTACTGCAAATCTCATTAAGTCTAATGACTCATTTGGAATTATTTGATGCTCATGAAGATTTTAAATTATAATTTACTAAATACTGTATGGACTAACAAGGCGTTCATATCCTTGCGATCACCCAGGTTTTAGAGACATAATTAATTTTTAATACTCCAGACCTTAACTTAATATGTTATTTTATATTTTAATGTAAGTAAATTCATAATCGATTTTTGTTAACATTGAAAGTGATCCGATCGGGTACGAAACGTTTGTATATATGATTGTTTTTGTTTGTATGATTTAACTATTTATATTAAAATTATTGTTTTAGGCTCGAAGCCTCTTTTACTATATATTATTATAAAATGAAAACTTTCAATCTCTCCTTGATTCCTCTTTTACAAGTTTCTCCTCTGCAGCAAACATTTGTCATATATTCAACAATCTCACTTCGACTTGCAAAAATATTAAATAATTTACAAAAAATCAAAGATTTTCGAAAGAAAGAGATTAAGAAAGCTGAGACGAAGAGATTATTATAATGGGAGGTTGAAGAAGAAACGTGAAGGAAAAATTATAAGGAAGAATTAACTTAACTTAAGGAAGAATTATCGATGTTCGTGCACCAAATCCATATTATGTGATAAATAAATATTGCAAATAATAAAAGTGCGAGATTAGATTTCGCTTACCAATTCAAGTATTTATGATGTTTTTTATTTCGGAATCGATCGATTTTATGTCTGTCACAATTTTTTCAAATAAAACGTGAATGTAATTAAAATAACAATGAGGTTTCATTTTTTGTACAGACAATTTCGCGACGACACCTTTCCCCCTCCTTTTGGTGTTGCGAATATCGAATCTATTAGTAACAATAATTAAATATTAAAGTGTTTCACTTACTATTTGACAAAATTGCGCCGCCACTCGTCTCGAAGCCGGTTCGTCCCATGTCCTCCACAATCTGTAAACAAAACATAACTGTAATTAAGATAACGAAGGAATTTCTTTCAGTTTCTTTTTTCATATACAGTTAACTTTGCTCGCCAAAAGTGACGTGGTTCGGTTTTTGCCGAGTTTTTGCGTTCCGCTCTTGGCATTATACAAATACCGAATTTATTAATTAAATTTAAAGTTCTGCTTTTTCTCATGTTACGATGCAAAACAGAGCTCTCATTGAATATCGCTTATCATTCATCGGTCATCGCGTTCAATATACAGGCATTAGCCTCAAAAAATTCATTAAAAGTGATAAAATTTTGCATATTAAAGAAAAAAAAACTTTACTATTATATCTCAAAAACGTCGTTTAAGAATATCATGAGATTATAAAACTTGAACTTAGGTTTTTTTATATTAGCACTTTGGCTGTTGATCCACTGGGAAATAGCTTTTGACATTTTGCGAGCTTTTATATAGCTATCTCGTAAATATTTCTACCCAACCTTCGCTTTTTCTGGAGTAAGAGCTCCTAACAAGTTTTCATAATTGATTCGTAATGTGTGAAATATCTACATGTGTGTGTGTGTGTGTGTATGTGTTCACAAATATTAATATAGATATAATACATCCTAGAATATTGGAAACTTCTGCATAAAGCATTTTTATGTAAAAGGTTTCTTTCGGAAGCAGATATACATATATACCTGCTTCCGAAAGCATAGTCATAGAGCTCTCTTTGTCTTTATCACTGCAATCAAGAGTTTATCTAAAGTAGGTATTCTTGTAAAGTATCTTTACATGCAGGATCTTTCGCAGCATTCTGTCTATTAAACAAATGATTATTACATAATATATTTAATTGTTATGATACATTAAAATATATGTAAAAAATTAAAAATGCAGAAAAACATACATATATATCGTCACAACATAATTCCATCTACATAAAGGATTCAAGCATGCAATCTGGACATAATGCATTAAAACGATATAAAAAAGCTAGAGGAAAGACATTTTCGTAAACATGTAAAAGGTTAATTAGCACTTTTTCCTTGATATTGTATTGAATTCATAAAGATTAAGCAGGAAGAGAAATTACAAATTGTAAAAATTTTAATCGTCTTTTATGTTTCATACTTTTTAGCCTCCATGGCTTGAATATTTTGATATTAGATATTTTGATATTGTTTATAATTTCCAACAATTCATGCATTTAAAATAAATATACATTAGGCATTTGAGAAAGAGAAAGCAAACATTTTACATGCAAAAGATGCGAGCAACACTCTATTGATATACAACTGTAACCTTTCGAACAATTTTGTATCGCCGTGAAAAATGGATGGGATATGACAGAACGCAGACAGTTTTATATAACAAATTCGATATGAAATTACTTTTTAACTAACCCTGGTTTGATCCTTACTCATCCTTGGGTGCTTTCCAATTGTAAAATCTTATTACTTTGCAAAAGTTCTGACTTAAGACTAACGAGTTTCTTTCGCGCTAGAAATTGAATTCGACTAAAGTCGGCGTAATTCCTATTGCACACTAGACGCGATAAGCGACAGACGATATCCAATAAAAATTCTGCTTTTTCGTACGTGACAATGGCTGCGATTCACTTAACATTCGCAATGATCGTGGAATCATTTCATCCTTGTCGTTATCAAATATTAAACAAGGATAAACGATACTTGCGAGAGTTAAATGAAACATCTGACGCAAAGCAGAGCTCTCTTATTGGATATCGCTTATTGCTTGAAGCCCACCCTTTCTGCGTACGATGCGTAACAAATGATAAATTCAATCAACATAGGAAGGGGAGATTCGTCTCTCGCGCACTGCGCCGACTGCGCGAGAGACGAATGGAGACGAATCCCGTGAAGTTGACTGCGCAACACGCAGTTGGCGTAGTCAACTTCACGAGTCACGAACGAAGCGATCCCGACGCGTCGCAGCGGCGCGGAGTTTAAACACATTTTTCATGTTTTGAGTAATATGCCGGTATTCAATTGATGCGTTCGGGAAGCCGCTATTAGCGCTACTTCTGTCATTTTACCTTCGTTGTTTATTAAGGGTCCGTTTACAATACAGTAGTAAGCTTGATTTAAGAGGTAAGAGTAAGAAATAAAATTAATTTATTTCGCTTACGCCTACATCTACATCTACTCCTAAACTCTTACATCTATTCTTACTTCTTAAACCAAGCTTACTATGTGTATTATAGACGGGCTTATAAGCGTAAGCGAAATAAATTAATTTATTTCTTACTCTTACTTTTTAAACCAAGCTTACTACGTGTATTTGTAGACGGGCCTTTAGATGTAAAGCAAGGATAGAATGACAGAGATAACGCTAATAGCGTCTCCCCGAACATATTAAACGCATAATTAAAATCGTCTTAAATACAGATTCAAGATGTCACATACCAATCAGAGGTATTCACAGTTCGTTCTTACTTTAAGACCGTCTTAAAATGCCAACAATGCAGCCCTTTGATTAACTTATGACATCCTAAAATTGTAATTAGAACAATTTCAAATATAAGAATCGAATACCAGCCTTTCAAAAGCCTATTAGCGTTTGTAATTCAAATATTAATTTGTGGAAATACTTTATTTAACAAAAAACAGAATTATTAAACATCTATATATGTAATAGAATGGTAAATTACTGTTGAGCTTCACAAACCTATTAATTCATGTTTTCTTGCTAGTAAAATATGATAATGATCTCATATCTGAATAGTATATCCTATCGCATATCCTATTTGATAAAAAATATTTAAAAAATTTTAAAAATTATTAAATGCATGGAAATACCACGAAATAGAATCTAATAGAACCAAAAAAATATTATGTTACCCATCAGAAATATTCGACTTGACTGCGTAGTTCATGTCTACGTTTTATCGCCGATGGGATACTATTAAAGACCGTCAACCCTGGACATATATTTTCAGCCGTATAAAAAGGGCCCCAATGGTCCGGAGATAATTGAAGAACGCTGACATTATCGACAATTGATATAAATTTGCTACTATTAACATAAATATTAGCTAATACATTATTAAATTCATGATTTTTTATTACATAAATGCCCATACATAAATATGCATACTTGTAAAGCTATCATATCCTACTATATATTGCCGAAAAATTACAATTTTTTCTCTGCAGTTGTCATCTCTGTTAATATCTCTATAAATAATCAAACTTTGACACTAACACTGAAATCACAATTTTAAAGAAAAATCGAGTATTATTGAGTTTTAAATGCATACTCGGGAAAAAATGTTATAAATGGACATATTTTTTATACACAATTATATATAATTGTTTATAAAATATGTCAATTTTTTATATAATTTTATATAATTATACGTAATTATACTATATATAGTATATAATTACATATGAAACATTTTTTGGATATACACCAACAAACACGTCTACTAATAGTATCTCGTCGGTAGTTCTATATACATAGAGGCGCTAGCTTTAACTCCGTCTCCTGCTCCAGTTTGCTCTCAAGTTTTTCAAGGCTTTTCGTTTCATCGAACTCCGTCGTCGTCTATAAATATCAAAGTAATCTCAGATATTTTACATGCAGTCAATACGTAAAATTTTGCGAAGCAACCATGTCATATCTAACAGAAGCTAGACTGAACAGGAACTTATTTAGGAACAGCAAAGAACAAATTGCTTTGTTTGCTGGAAAAATGGCCCAAAGGTACTCTGACTTAACCTTCTATGGGGAGATCAAAACAAATTAATTACAAATTTGTTTTTACGATATATTTTTCTTTTTTTTTTGTTGCACAGGCTATTGCATGAGACCAGTCGTTGGCCGGATCAATTGATCTGGTCGTCAAGTATAATTTATTAGAGGAGTACAGTGTTGTGAAAATGTATCCGCTGTACGGTGGGACTTTGACAATACCACCTAACATTGCTAATGTCATATTTATCTCGAGACCACAATTGGAGCTTATGGACCTGATTGCTGAGAATGTTCACGGGTTGGTGTATAGCAAACATTATCAGATAGACTACAATATATCTATTCGGTGATATTAACAAAGAATCCTTCATCTGCTATCTGGATTTCACTCTTTCTACCTTCTTTTTCAATTTTTATTAAATAAAGATTTTAACATTTGAGTTAAAAAATTGTTTGGTAATATAACAGAAATATTGAAAAATAATCCTAAATGTTTCTACATTTCTCGAAAACCTAGAGCAATAAAAAAATTTGGATCCGACAAAAAAAGATTGCAGACAGAAGAAGTAAAAATATGTTGTAGACAAATGGTTAAAATTGTATATTAGTACTAATATATACTGATAATGTTATGTCTAGATTTTATTATAATTTGAATTAACTTTATATATATTAAAAAATTATATGTATTTGTTTATACATTTACATAGAAGAAGGCAAAAGACCGAATAAAGAATTTCACTTGTTCTTTGTGCCACACAAGAGTCTACTTTGTCAAAAGAAACTCTAGAACTGATTGAACATTTAAGTGTGATCTCTTTCCGTTTGATAATGATCTGCTCTCAATGGAACTCAGCGGATCCTTTAAGGAATTTCATTTGGAAAATGATCCCACTTGTCTCTATCAAGTTGCACAAGCTATACAAGGCTTACAAAAGTTATATGGTAAAATCTCAAAAGTCACAGGAAGAGGACCAGCTGCCAGTAAAGTTTGGGAATTGCTGGAGAGACTAAATAGAGAAGAGGAAGATAATAAATCACATCCTGCATCGTCTGTAGCCATTGAACATTTATTATTGTTGGATCGGTCTGTAGATTTACTCTCACCTTTAGTCACACAATTGACTTATGAAGGCTTAATTGATGAAATATATGGAATAAAATACAGTGAAGTATCGGTTTTGTACATTTTCTATATTTCACAATTATGATTTTTGAACATCCTTTAATTTGTACATGGAATAACATGGATGTCTTTCATTATAGATACTGTGCAATTACCTGCAAGAAAATTTCACGACTCTGATGACTCTCCCACAGCAATGTCTCTGAATGAAAAGAAACAAATTATATTAAATTCAGGAGAAAAACTTTTTGCTGAGATTAGGTATATGTAATTGAACATAAGTTTCTCTAACAATTCTTCATATTATATTTTTACAGAGATAAAAATGTTAACGGCGTTGGACCAGTTCTTAGTAAGAAAGCTAAAGTGATTTCATCTCAATTTGACGAAAGATATGGAGATAAGAGTGTGCAAGAAATTAAGCAGTTTGTTGCACGATTACCACACATGCTAGCAACAAAACAATCTTTAGCAAGGCGTAAGTAATAAAAAGATGTGTTTGAATTTAATGTTTTCTGATTTTTTTTGTTTTAATAATTTGTTGTAATTTCTCTTTATTCAGATACCACAATCGCTGAGATGATAAAAGAAGTCACCGACTCGAGCAACTTTCTAGAATCATTGCAAGTCGAACAAGAAAAGTCGAAAGAAGTTGTTAAACTGTATCGACACAGACAAACCGAACACATATATCGAAGATATGATAGCACAACAGCAACCGTTACTGAAAATTTTACGTCTGCTTTGCATAAAGTTGTTGACAAACTCTGGCTTAAAACCAAAACTGTTAGATTACTATAAATGAGAAATAATTCACACTTATTGATTCCAACATTTATCAACTATATTAAATCTGGAAAAGGCTGGTTTATTAAAACAGCAACAGTCAGTACGACAATATGCAGTATTAAGGAAAGCATTAAAGCTCACTGTCGAAGATGAGAGTGAAGTAACACCGAAAGATATTAGTTACATACATTCCATGTACGCACCATTGAGCGTGAGATTTGCGGAGTAACTAGTACAACCAAATGGTTAGCAAGAATTGGTGGAATCATTACCAGGTCCTATAAGCAATATCTCATACAATGTACTTTCGTCAACGAGACGTAAGTCAAGTCTAAATCTTATTCATAGCTTAATTTTTAATGTAATTTATTCCTTGAAAAAAATATTTATTTCAGGAAATTCTATTTCTAGCAATTCTGGTTCGGGATCACCGAAATTAATTCTGGTCTTTTTCATTGGAGGATGCACTTTCGCCGAGTTATCTTCTCTTCAACAACAGAAAGAGCGTAAATATCTTAATTTATATTACGAAGTACTTATTTGCACAAATAAATAAACGTATACATGTAATAAACATATAGTAATGTAATTTTTTCAGTAAATGTCGAGTTCGTGAGAACTACGAGATTAATCAATGGCAACACGGTTCTTACTTCTCTAATGAAGTTAGAACGGACATGAGAAGAGAACTTAAACTAAACTATCGAAATAGGATAGTCAATAATTTTGATGTGATGAAGTAAACTGTAAATATCATATATTTTTCTTTCTTACTATTTTATTTTGTGTCCATCAATTTTATACATATAATTTTTAAAAATAAGATCTTTTTTCTTAAATGTATATTATAGATACTAATTATATTTTGTACATACATGTATGTACATGAAAATAAACTGCTGCAGTACATAAGTATGTAATAAGTACTTTTTTATTTATAAAATCATCGTGATACAATATATGTATAATCCAGAAAGATGTAACGATTCCCCCCCCCCCATCGTTCCCAGTTGAATTTAAATTATTACATTTTTAAATTATTACGTTATTAATAATAATTATTATTATAATAGCTACAGAACTATTTTGCATGTTGCAACAGAACTAGAACATTTGAGATTAATAAAATGTAATTTTCCCACAATGAGAATTGTTAATTTTACATATATATATTAATGATATTTTTTTGTAAGAAAATATATACAGATATAATGAAAACATATCATAAGTAACTGTAATAACTAGACAAAAACATGTACTGTAATAATAAAGGAGGATGCTAATTAGAAAGTAAAGTACTTGCTCAAGACGTAATTTTTCGTGTTTTTTATTTGTATTCTAAACATGACAAAATGTTTTCAATAAAACATGTCTCTCTCTCTCTCTCTTTCTCCTCTCTCACATCAAAAGTTTCCTTATTTGACTTGATTTAACCCAGTAAACACAATGTAACGTACATGTAACATGAAATGTCAGCAAAACAAAGTAACTGTAATATAATACAGTGTGTTACATGTAACCTTGTGTTTACTGAGAAATTCGTATTCTTTTACTAAGGCCGCAAGTTGAGCAAGACTTTTTTATAAACTGAATGGAGGATCCTACAAATACTTTACGGCGGCGCTAGTGATGAAAGATTTCTCAATCACCGGAAGGAATCATTTTCTCCTTAAACGCGAAAAATCGTGTATGTGGGCACATGTGGGTAGAATTGAACCCAGATCTACACATCGCGAGTCAATAGCACCGAGTGGTAAGCCATTCAACACGGACGCCTCGATTTAAGATGCGTTTGGAGAGGAACGCTACATTGCCAAGTACTAAAATATGATACATATAAATTTAATATAAAATTTATTTATATGTATATTTTAAATTGTTTAATTGTCATTTAAACTCAGGACCGTGCAAAGAGTTTTTGGGGCTCTATTACAAAGATAAATATAATGCCCTACCTTTTTATAAAGTTGATATTAAAAAAACTTCGAAGAGTTTAAAAAATGTAAGAAAACAGAATAATTAAAATTATATTTATTTATTTTATTATATGCACTGCTCAAAAAAATTATGGCATAGAAAAATTTTAGGCAAAAATTTAATAAACAATTGCATCACCCCGATATATAATTTCACATTAAATTTTACATATAAAGATTTTATTAAAGAGCCTCCGCAAGCTGCATGCAAAAAATGTCCGTTTTCGGTACCTCGATTTTTGAAACTTTTATTATGCCAAATAGTTACATATAATGACCCAATAACTCCTGCAAAATTTCAAGATGAGCATACAGCCCGTTCAGGAAATAGAGGGGGTTAAAGTTGACCATGTCCAATAACAAAATATATCAATTCAACATTTGAATTCGAACAACAGCTTTGCTTCCCACATCTAACACTTGAAGATTTGTATAGTATAAGTCTAGGACCTTATCAAATTCAAAACGCAATTTCCTACTATGCAGAACACCAGAATGAAGGAATATTTCTGGTTTCGAAGTTTCAACCAGATGCAAGGCACAGAACAGCTGCTATTAGATACACCGATTTTAACATAACAATCCAAGATCCTATCTTAATAAAAGCCGACATGAAATCGCGATACCGAGGTGGAAAGCACCACCACATCTTTGTTCTTTTTGACAAAGCCTTAACAGGTCGAAATTCAATAAAAGAATATTTTTGTACCTGTGAGAGTGGTGCTAGAACAGTAGGATGCTGTAGTCACATCATGACTATTATTTGGTATCTTGGATATGGACAATACCATGAAATAAGTACGCCTAATCCTGGTATCTGCGACGTCTCTATTACTATACCTAAAGAAAAGCCGCAACCAATACAAACAGAAAACTAAAGACTATGTATAAGATCTTGCGTTTAGTGGTTGGATTCTTACATCTTGCCTTCATTGGTTGGATAACTGCCTCTTTTCTTTATTGGTTGGACAACTACATCTCGGCTTTAATGGTTGGATTATTACATTTAGTTTTTGTTGGTTGAATTATTACATGTCACCCTTGTTGATTGGATTATTACATCTTGACTTTTTCTTTAATGGATTATTTATTACTTTTTGCCTGTATTGGATGTATTGGATCCGTCATTTGTAATTTATTAAAATTGACTTCAAATTCGTAATCAGCGACCCCAAAAACCCCCGAGTAACAAGTTTCAAGTAGATCCAATGAATTTTAAAAAAATTGTCCGCCATATTGGATCCGCCATTTTGAATTTTGTAAATCTGAATTCATATTTATAATCAGCAGCAAAAAATCTTAAAATAGTAATTTATGTTGACTTTGCTTTAGACGTTATTGTTCGAATTCAAATGTTGAATTGATATATTTTGTTATTGGACATGGTCAACTTTAACCCCCTCTATTTCCTGAACGGGCTGTATGCTCATCTTGAAATTTTGCAGGAGTTATTGGGTCATTATATGTAACTATTTGGCATAATAAAAGTTTCAAAAATCGAGGTACCGAAAACGGGCATTTTTTGCGGAGGCTCTTTAAAATATTACTTTTTTGAAGTTTAAATGAAATATAAATGAATATCATTTGCATATGCAAATTAAATTGGATAGAGATTAATTTAAATAGAAATAGATAATTTACGTAAAGCCCAAGGCACAATGCGAGGGAATAGCGAGAACGATAAAAATAATACGATTTCAACTTGTCAGAAATCGGAGTATATTATAGTTTCTGATAGGCTGACCCAAAAGAAATATTCTGCCAATAAGTGGGGAATTCCTTTTACAATTAGCATTTTTTCTAAGCAAAAAAATCTTACATGAATCAGGCGCGTGTATTTATAACACGCATTCATCTGTAAAAATAAAGACACGTGAGCCATGATCAAAAATAAATTTCTCTATAGAAAATTCTATTATAATAACTCGAATAGCCTTTTAAAATAAGAAGATATACAAGATACTACACTGAAAAAAAGATTGGCTGCTGCAGCAAATTAGATGGTAAAATATGGCATAGCATTTTTAATCGGTTGTATCAGTCAATTTTTGGTTACGTTACCCTATCCGGATTTCGATAGGCTAACACAACCAAAAATTGACTGATACAACCAATTAAAAATGCTATGCCATATTTTACCATCTAATTTACTGCAGCAGCCAATCTTTTTTTTCAGTGTAGCGACACGCTTATTTGTTAGATGTTTATTATTTACATGCTACCATAACTATGCGTGCATGTCAGTACATGCAAGACATTCTTTTAACATTAAGAGGATTGTAATCTTAAATGTAGCACTTTATACGAAATTTCTTTACTTTGTAGAGTATCTTCTTGAAGTCGTATATAAATGAAATATAATGTCCTCTGACATTAACACGGAACCGTTAAATGGCAGAATATTTTATTTTGTGTGTTGAAATCGTTATTTCTATGGCTATCGCTATTCTCTCCCATTATGTCTGGTGTTTAAACTTCGGGGCCCCTTAGCACCGAGGGCCTTGATACGGTGCATGCTGTGAACCCCCCCTTTGCATGACCCTGTTTAAACTTATCTATAAACATGGAGACATTTATGATTACTTACTTGATTATGAATATACATTGTTTATCTTTGATATCCACGAGAAACACTTCTTATAAGTTCTCATTCGTATTGCTCAATATTTCACTAATCCTCTACCGGAAAAATATGCATTTATGCAGAATCGAGACGCTATAGAAAAAGATAGATTATACTCAGTACTGTTGTTGGAATTTGTAATATCTTAAAATATCATATTCATATAGAATTTCAGACGGCCCTATATTTTGTCAAAGCCGAACAGAGTTGGGCCATTGCTCAATAAACGAGAATGGATTGAAATGGATTGAAATGAATTCAGATTTTCAGAAATATGGATTCACGAATGTTAAAATAAATGCTTTTCAATCCTGAATGCATTTTTATTCATTTATAGGATTTGCATGAAGCATATCTCTATGCCTTTCAATCTAAAAATAATATCAGCTTTTTCTGTGCATTATAAATACTGTTCAAAATTTTGAATAGGAAATGCAGTTTTTCAATCCAATTGCATCCAATTGAATCTAATTGAATCCAATTAAATCCAAAAAAAGTATTCGCTATTTAAAATATGCATTCGGATAGAAAAAAATTTCAATCCATTTTAATTCATTCTCGTTTACTGGATGCTTTCCTCTACGTTAACTGATTATCCAATCAACAAGATTACTGAGAATTATATTATAAAAGTACAGGAAAATTTGAATTACACGAAATTGTATGAAGAAATACACAAATTCACAAAGCATCATTACAGTGCTAGCAGAATAAAACTGGTTATACAGGTAATTTTGTTAAAATTACGACAAACAATTAATTACTTTAACAGTGTACAGTTTATTTATTTCAAAAACAAAATTGAAATTTATAACATGGTACATCTTTTTATAGGCAAGATTACCGCTGAATACATTGGAACAATATATCACGCAATTGATACGTGTTTTGTTAATATACTAACTCTGACGAATTATCTCCCGATGACTCTACCAAATTTAAAAATCGTGTTCTTTTGATACTGTTAATTTTCAAAAAATGTATAAAATTAATGATTCGAAACATTTTAGTCAAGTATGTGACTAAAATTTGATCAGGTCGAAAAAATTTATGTTTATACTACGTAAAAATATAAATATGTA